CTCTCTCTCTCTCTCTCCTCCTCTCTCTCTCTCTCTCTCTCTCTCTCTCTCTCTCTCTCTCTCTCTGCATTTAATACTTTGCCCGACAGAATATACGCCTAGCTACGGGACACTCTGCGTCGAGCGTGCTATCAACGGTTGACGAAGGGTCCTCTTGTTAAATTCTCCTTAGAAATTCATACATTGTCTCGCTCGTACGTGACTACCTTGAGAATTGTTCTAAGATAGAATTGAATTTTGGAAACGTTTGAGAGACGAGGAAAAACATTATGTTGCTTTTATATAGAATTTGAAACATGTCCGATTTTAAATATCTTTGTGGTGAAGTATTCGAAATTATTTTTATTATTTCTTTATTACATTTTTATTAATATTTTAATTTAATTTGTATTTATAGATTGAGAAATTGTTTACATATTGTAATTATTTTTTTAGTTTTATTTTTTTAGTTGTATGATTTGCAATTTGTCTGCGTTAAAAATAATTTTGAAAATTTTTTTGCTAGCACAAGAGAGTTATGATTTGAAGTATTCTCTCCGTTTATGACGACGAAATGAATTAATCCGACAGTGCGATAATAACTTTTTGAACAGAGAATGGACCAAGAAGAGCAGCAGAGCTCATTACGCGGTTATCTCGTCGTCGATCAATCGAGATATTCGGCGCATGGCGTGTATGATTAATGAGTTACTAGACTAATACATAAGAAATTCTTCCATCATCCTTATTCCGTAGGGCTTGATGGGAGAAAATGATGGTTCGATGTAACATAAAGCAAGAGTGCTGTTTGATGCGTGCACTGAAATAGAAATGGCAATCGGATTGATGACTAGAAATTAATTATAAACTTATTTAAATAGTCGACACTAATCGCGATGCAGATTCTAAAGCTCATATATTAATGTGGCAAAATTATTTGTCAATAATTTGTACAATAGTTATGATACATTATTACATTTTAATTTATTAAGTTGTGACACACTTTTTTATAATTTCTACAATATTCCATAATTTTTTACCCACTTTATGGCTTAATTTTTTTATAACAAAACTTATAAATAAGAAAATTATTTTTCAATCAACAGTAAGCAATTTTTGTTTCAATATGAATTCAGATTGATATCTAAAGCTAAAAATATTAACTACAAAAATTGTTACAAACAGCGGAGAGTATTGATCTTCATTTCTATGAAGAAATCAATCATTTTGAATATATATATATATATATATATATCATAAAATCAACCTTTGAAAATGATGCGACACTTATGACGCAAACTGTATTGATATTTACATGGAAAATCATTATATATTCACAAAATGAATTTCGTGCCAATCGCGATATCCGCGCACGGAAGGCTGATAGTTCGAAATGAAAAGAAACCAGGAGGAATAGATGAAAAGGGGCAGCGTATATGTTACCACTGTATCGCAAGGTGCTTGTACCAATTTGACGAAGCATGATGGATTGTACGGCGCTCGCATGTAAAAAAATTTACATCCACGGAATAAATTATCATCGCATTGTCTCGAGCGCGAGCGTGTTAGGAACGGTCGGCTTTGTTAAACGTCTCGTGAACGGGTCTCGATTAAATGTATTTGAGGCCGCGAAGCGTATTTTATCCGATCACTCGACTAGTCGTTGCATAATTATCGAAAATGGCCCCGCACCACGTGCGGTTTGGTCAAAGTGAAACGCATTTTCGAACGTCGAAACTATTATCGCAGGTATATATGAATCTTAATAGTAATGTTCGCGATCGGTGCCGCGACTGAAATAAGCGTAACCGGACCGGTCCGCTCGTGATACTTTTATATTTATTATTACGATACGTCTATGCGAACGGAAAGGTTCGAATAATCTGTGTAGCCGGCTATTAGCACCTTCGATACTGAATAACCTTTATCGAGATCGAGTTGCGCTGAGAGATCGGTTTTCGTTACGCCTCGTGAGATTCAAGTCGTGTAATGGGCGTTCAGCCTCGACAACTCCGCCTTCTTAGATATGCCTGCGACATTATCTGCATTGACTACGGTTATATACGACTGAAAGAGAATAAACTATACGAGATTATCGCGCGGAAACTGTGTGTAAAATCGAAACACTTTGCTGATCAGATGCATTCACTAAGTATTGAGTAATGCAAAGAGTAATGCATTCATCAAAAGGAACAATATCATTCATAAAAAGTTAATGTCGAAAAAAGCTTACAAAAATAAAAAAATAAGTTTACGAAATTTTTTTATATATTTTTTTAATTAATTCGTAATTATTTTATTATTATGGTGATCGTGAAGAATTATGATTTTATTATTGAAATTTATTTGCTGATAATACATAAATAAACAATTAGGATAATTAATATCGCAGTACACAATGTATTAATTCAAAAATAATTTGTTCCGATATGTTTATTATTTTGATTTCATATTGCACTTTAAGCTAAAATTAATTAACCAAGAATTCATCGTTCGATTCAGTGATTAAAAAATATACGTGAAAGAGTTTTATTGGTATGTTTAACGAAATTTTTTAATTACGTACTATTTTCGATACTTTCCAAATTAAAGATTTTTTAGTCTGTTTAGCAATAATCAGAAGGTATATACTGTTAAATGGAAATTGATACGTTTGTGCTTATTTTTGAATGTGATGTGATCATTGGCAATGTAAACTTGCATCTTAAAGCAGAATTGAATACGAAGTTCGTGTCGCGCTTTAACAAAGCAGCCTCTCTGTACGAAGAAGCATCTATCTATAGAAGGCAACGCAATTTCCTCGATATTTCGATGAATCGAGGGAACGAGCTGTATGTCGATACAGGACGAGACCTTTATGGTATAGATGGATAACGAAATTGGGATTGGTGGGGACCACTCAATGGGAACGCATGCGTGAGCGCATAAAACTGAACATCTGCCACGTGCGCGGGCGGTGCATAGTGCGAGGCTGAAATCACGAGGGGGAAGAGGGATAGAAAGCATGGCCGCATCCGCCATGCGTGTGCGCAGCCGCCCAAACGCGATCGACTAATTTTCTGTCCGTTTCCAATTCCAATATCCAGATGCTAATTAGACAGAAGCCGTTAGAGAGAGAGAGAGACACGTGTAAGATAAGAGAGATCTTATCCAATTTCATTACATTATATTGAAGTTTATGAAGTTCAGAGGTAAAATCGAATCGGATCAATTCTCCCTACAGGCAAAATTGAGTTTTGGCTGTTCTATATGGGCGGACTCATTAAAGATAGTGCCGCGCGAGTTACTCGGGAATCTTTTTTTAGAGTTTTATATATAATAAAGGTACTATTATTTTATATTGTTATATATATTTTTTTAAATTTATTAGAGGCGAATTATATTTACATTTCTACAAAAATATATATATATAT